GTCAAAGTGAAAGAATGAAGGTCAATGCACTCGGCGCTGAACAATGCTTAAGACATACGCCGTGCACTCCATTCCATTCCATTCGCGGAATTGTGAAGCTAGGTGAATGCATATCTGAACTTTAGAATTATTCTCAAAGATCTATTGGTACATATAATGAGTGTTTTTATCCTCCTAGACAAATCTGATACAAATTTTCCAACCTTGAAGGGATAAAAGGTTTAGTGAAGCGAAGACGCGAGATCGAACGAACGGGTAGTCCCGAAGATGGAACATAACTATAGTGTTTAGTGGTGCCATTCATGTTACTATAGGAACTTTATTGAATGACAATTGATAACTATGTCATCTATGTATCAACATTTCTGCAGTTTAACGTCGTTTTCAAGTAGATTGCTTACGAGTCTCGACGAGATGCTTTGATATTGTCAGGACAGCTCTTCTTCGTGTTTTCTTGCTTCAGTTTAAGCCTACTGTAGTATTTTTTCCAAAATAGTGTAAACACGAGTGTAGAGCTCTTGCGTGGTGACTATCAGAAACCTCCCTAGGAAGTATGACATTCAAGACGTTGATGAGCTCTACCTTCCATTTCTGTCGCACATGAAAATGTTTTTAATGTCTTGGTGATAACTGCGACGTAGTATGAAGTAAAGTGGCGCACAATCTTGTACTCGTCTGATTCGTCGATGTGCTTGCCGATGTAAATGTGATGGTTTGGGTTCTTTATCTATTGGCTGCTGATATTAATCTAGCAAAAGCTGGTAGTGAAATCGTTAGATAATCCACCTCATGGCGTTTTCCTAGATAATCCTGGGATCTTCAAATATGAACACCTAAGAAATGAAAATCACTACCTATTAGCTATCGATGTGAACAATTTTTCCTATCTTTTATTCACAAATAGACGCTGTCATCCAGCTTGCATCCCAGACCTCCGCAAATTCAGTTACGGCCAATTTGTGAATACGACGATTACTTTGTTGAAAGATAACTTTGAAAGAGATTATCCGAACATGAATACTAGTTTAAGTACATGGATTCGACCAGAAATTTGCTGTTTTTTTTTCTTTTCGGGAAGAGATCTATTATTGCATGTGTAGTTTGTTTACTAGGAAGATAATGTAAGAATCCATGCCCATTGGTCTACTCTTAGTCCGAATCCCGGATGAAAGTGTCAAAACCATTCTCAGCATGAAAAACCGTATTAGTGATAACAACACCAACTTTAAGGGAGACATGAATACTTAGCTAGTTAAACTGCGATAATCCATCAGAGCTTTATTAATCCGTGTATGCATCATCATCGTTTTCCTGGAAGAAACTTTACCACGAGGTGGTTATCCTTCCATAAAGTTGTAAGGGCACATCTGTAGTGACGGTTCCGAACCAAACCACTTATATCCCAGAACCGCAGGAAGCAACTAGCTTTTTCAACCGAGAACTTTTGTTGTCGATTAGTATGGTCTGAGGAAACAAGAAAGAATTTTTTGACATTTCAATCGACGTATTCAATTTCAATATACATGGAAATTATCCAGTCGTTACTTTCCATGCTCACAATTGTTTGATCGACACCTGAACAGTAAATAAGCCTAATAACTGACTATCTAATGTAGAAATCAGAAACCCATCGTTCTCGAGTCTAATCGATAATCTATTTCCGTTTCAGAGTGGTTGTACCTAGGGATTGGTGGTGTCGTCGGTTTGCTTGGTATCGCTGCCGTAATCGCACTGCTTGCCGTCCGAAGGCGTCGACAATATCCGTCATTACTGATACCACCTAAACAAGTATTCCTTAATTCCTGTTCTATTCCTTAATTAATTCATATGAAAGTGCTCTGCATCAACGGAACCGTTAAAGTCATACATACTTGTACTTTTGTTTTAAATAGTTAGAAAAAAAAATCGTGTTATTGAGGCGAAAGTAACACAGGACAAAAGCTATTTGGCTAACACAGTAGTGTGAGATGTTTTTTCTTCCTTTTCTTACCAGTAAAATCAAATTCAGGGGCGGATAGCACAATGGCAGCGATGCCCGTCATTACGAGCGTGGTGCTATTTCAATTCCGCTCCGGGCCAACAAAGCCTCTCATCCCTCCTGGGTCGGTAATTTGGTATCGGACTTGTCCGGGAAAGAAATCACTCTTTGCAATCTTGCAAACGCTCCAGCCCGGCTATGTCAGGACTCTAGCCAGAATTGCTGGACCAGTATTCTATGACATTTCAGATGAGATGAAAATTCTCAAGGAGCAACCGAAGCCACAGGTAAAAGTTGGAAGATCCTCGTGTAAAATGGATGCGAGGAAACGAATTGAATGTGAGAAGTGCTTGGATCCGCACAGTAGATAGACGCGAAGACGGATCATGAAAGAAAAGTCAAATTCTTTCGCTCAGTTTTTCTAATTTTCAATCGTTGAATAAATGATACACGAAAATGGTCAGTTGGCTACCAACATAAACAAACCTATTTCGAAACCGATTTTCCATGAACCTCGGTATTACTAATCAATATGTATTCTTTCTTTGATGAGCTTACACGAGGTTGATAATATTGTTTATTTTCGGCTAACGTTTCGACGTCTTCGTCTTCCTCAGAGCCAAAGCGTAGTAATATTTCAAAACCGACTTTCCATGAACCTCGGTATCACTAATCAAGCTATCTAGGTATCTAGCTGATAACAACACCGACTTCTGCACGATGTGCGCAATGATCTATGTCTGGAAGAAAAACGAGTTGTTATTACCGGACATTATCATTATATCGACCATCAGCATCGTGTATAGAAGGGAATCACTGAGTAAGGATGCCTCGTTCGAGGAGATGGCTCACTGAAGAAGACCTAACTCGACACGAAATCGAAGCTGCCACGTCGAGGCGAATAGCAAGCGAGGACCATCGACTCCGATCATCGGCTCTGAGGAAGACGAAGACGTCGAAACGTTAGCCGAAAATAAACATCATTATCAACCTCGTCTAAGCTCATCAAAGAAAGAATACATAAACAAACCTATGTCAAAACAGCCACGACCGACTTTCTATTAACCTCGGCATTGATCAAGTAATTTTCTTCGTATTTTTGTTGAGCAAACGCGAGGTGTTATTATTCTTTGTTCACGATCAAGCTGACGTTTCGGCGAATTTCGCCTTCCTCAGAGCCCGCCCACTATTCTCCTCCAGAGGCGGTCCTCCAAATATTGAGCACAAAAGCACAAGTTGAGCACAAGATACTTCCGACTTGTAAAAGAAGCGCTGTCACTGAGACAAAAGATCGTCTTAGCTCGATAGTCAATACACTTTCTCCCCCGCTGTCTAAAACATCAAGTCGTTCCGAACTTCATCAAACGAAGACGACTACACGACGTATGCGGTTTACCAGAGGACAGTCACCGAGTATTGGACGTCGAATTGCGAATACTACGCACCTGTCTACGAAGCCGACAAAACCGGATGTTCGCCAACTGGAAGAAGTGCGAGACGAAGGAAAACTTTTGTGCGCAATATTTGGAAGACCGCCTCTGGAGGAGAATAGTGTGGGCGGGCTCTGAGGAAGGCGAAATCCGCCGAAACGTCAGCTTAATCGTGAGCAAAGAATAATAACACCTCGCGTTTGCTCAACAAAAATACGAAGAAAATTACTATGTCAAAACAGTTTCACACAAATATAGCTCTATGGGTGAATAAAGAGGAACCGATGGTTTCTTAACCCTTTCATGACCATATGTCATTGGAGCGTACTTGCGATGCGCTATGAAATCATGCGAATGCTCGTGAACTGATTAACTACCATTCGGACAACAAACTTGCCACCACCTGACGATATCATTTTATGAAAAGAATTCAGCAAGGTCCTTAACCTTGTATTCTGAAAAGTCTCTTATTCTCCACTCCGTTTCATCCCTCCCTTTTTTGTTTTGGCTCTCTTCTATCTCTATCTCTCTCTGTTTTTCTCGCGTTCTCGCTTTTTCATCATCAAATCCTCTTTCCATCACTCTCTGCTCTCATCATCTAAGCCTTCTTAACGGAGCATTTCTTCGCCAGTGACGACTGCCACCGAGGAGACATCGATTTTGCTCCGATGTTGTGCCTACCACTTTAAAAAGGAAATGGGCCAAAATCCTTTTACACTCAATTTTCTAATAGTCCAAGTCATATCGTTTCAAGTTTAACAAGAGTAACAATTAATAAATTACTTCCATAGATGATTTCATCCACCTCTCTACTAAAGACTGCAGCCACATAATCATCAAGTACTTGGCATGGATTTACTCAATTGTTGGTAAAAGAAAGTACATACGGTGACTTTTCCCAGTTGTATAAACCAAACAGCTTACTCGATTTTGCATCTATTAAAGCTATAGGCCAGCAAGTGGGAAGCGACATATTTCGTGACATGACTAGGACTCCTAAGGCACGATTCTTGAGACACTAAGGAGGAGTGGTGTTGTTGACGATGAAAGAGGAAGTCGTTGCCCTATTCCATCGTATCGTTAAGCTGCTGCACCCATTAAAAATAATGTGATTCGAAAAGGAATCCCATTATAATCTGTTTGGCCAAATAGTTTAGTGGGTTATACGATCAATACCGGAAATGTCAACAATTTTAGGTGATCGCCGTACGAAATGGCGGATTTCCTAAAGCACCAAGCGGACTAAAGCAAAGTCCTTCACCATTACAGGTAAGAGGGGTTAAGTGCTAGGTACCTCCGTGATAACGTTGTCGACGTAAAAATTTGGCGACATCTATGCCATTAAATCGTGACGTCTCTAGTGACATTTTGCTAATGAAACCCTCATAAACCTAACAGCCAAAGGGAAAAACGTCTTATGAAACCATTCGAGGGGAAGAATAAGTACTTTGACGCCAAGCATATTGAAATCTAAGAAGAATTTCTTATTTCACTTTAGAGTATTCGAGCACGTTAAATGCTAGGTTCACATACGGTAAGAAACTAACAATCAAATGACCGAATTATGGAGAACTTCTCATTGACATCTCTCGATGTGTCCAAATAATCCATTATATTGGATAATCGATGAAATCATTGAGCTAATTATCTTTCAGAGTCCGCTGTCGACAGATTCCTCACCAAGTCCGGTGGTGCCATTCCAATCACTTCTCGAGGATCGAACGCGAAAACTCTCACCGTCTGAATTGCCCACAGAACGCGGCATAATCACATTCACACTTAGCTACGATCCCGTATCGCTTTCTCTCCAGGTGGGAAGACAGTGGCACTTTTCATTTTGTTCAGTCGAGCTTTTATGCTCTCGGCCTGAGTAGTGGAAGCAATGAACATTCAGTTACACCCTGCAGTTCGACACTGGGAACATCCGCTGCCATAATGAGATGGGAAGCCATTGGGTAATAGTCGCAAATAAATATGCTAGAATAAAGGAATTTGTCAGATATATGATCTACATTTATTACCCGCAACACTGTTGATCATCGCTGAGCTCGAGAGGCCATCAGTGAAGTCTCCACTCGTCCTCATCGAAAGCCAGTGCTATTTAGAATGGGCTCCAGTGGCTTCAGGAATACCACGACCTTCTCATTTCCGATACCATTCCCTTGGCGGAACGTTAACTGCGAGTAGCTCGTTGAACTCAGCGTTTGCCATTGGTTTACTCTTAGTTGAGCTATTGGACAGAAACGTGCTAAGGCTCACAGCCTAAAAATTCCTAGTGGATGTTGCCATACATCCAAATTATGTGTCAGATTGAATCAAATGCATTAAAAATGACAAGTTTCGGAGTGGATCAGCACTTATGGTGGAAATGTTGGGACGGCTCGTTGATTTAGGAATACCAAGTAGTTAGGACAATTCGGTCGGAATTAGCTGCTCGCCTTTGTGTACGCCACGCGGGACTTCTTGTGATTAGCTGTCACAATGCTGGACACCTCAAACTTGGATAATTAAACCGTTTATCATAATTATACAACAATCATAACGATACAACTCTACAGATAATGCAACAATGATACGGTTTATGAGTGGGCGCAGCCTGATCACTGGTATTCAAGTTGGTGAAATGGTAACAAGTGATACACTTGAAGGAATTAACGCGGACACTGGTGTTGGAGCACTGAGGAATTGAGGGACCGGAAGCAGACCGGTCGGACGCGGCTAACACATCAGGACCAGTTCTATGGGCTGCCTGTATTACATCTGTAGTCGGTGGAGCTTTGCCAGAGAGAACTAAAGACGGCGTCCAGAGAGAGGTTCTAAAAGTTTTTCTACTAGCACAATTTGATAGGGCTGCATGTGGAAGGGTGCAGGTGTCTGTTCGGAGACTTTTTGGAACGACAGATGCTGAAAAGTACATTCAGCTGACTGCTGCTGATTCCCTTTCCAGCTACCTGCGAGGCAATTGCATGAAATGGTTCCTAAGAGATGATTTACCGAATGTGCAAGAATAGATGTATGACGATTACAAATAGACAGGTGTTGTAGAAGGCATAAGGTTATAATTGTTTTACATAGAGAATATTCAATATTCGTGAAGAATGTTCTCTATAGGAAACAATAGGAGTTTCCGACAAACATCTGGTTTAGAAAATTTTTGTTAACATTTAATCGTTATTGTAATTTCTATTATTCGATGTGGCGCGTGTGGCACAGTGGTCGGAGTCGCCTTGCGACACACACGTGGAATTGATCCCGGCGACCATGGCCCAGCAAGGCTTCCATCCCTCCGGGGTCGGCAAGTTGATACCAGACTTGTCTGGGAAGGTAGCAACACTGGTTCGATACATCGGTAGGCCACCGCGAGTCATTGTAAAGGCCAGATATGCATTCAATCACCTCCAACAGTTTTTAATGAAGGCTAATGCATAGTGCATCCCTCAGAAAATGATCAACGCCGAAAGCTTTGAGCTTTTGTTAGTTGATGTATGTAATGTAAAAAACGATTTATGTAGTTACACTTGAAATGTGAAAGGGAAAGTGCTAGTGAGTAAAGAAGGTGTTTTTTTCCTCCGTTTATATTTAATATTAAGAAACAACTGCCCAAGAAGTTCTAGTGTTCCGTTGCATTATTGATTAGATTATTGTTGCTCGGAGGCTTGCTGGTTTAGAAAAGAAATGTTGGAAGTAACTACCTTACTAAAAAATGTTGTAGTTGTCAAGTGCCAAACTTTTTGAAAACAAAGCTTGCATGAACTTTTTCTTCGTATTACAGTTTTTCTGTAGTATTTGCTTTGCCTCATTTATTTCTGTATAGAATACACCGTTTGACAATTATGCAGCCCTGTAGATGTCGTCGAGCGACGTCGACTTTACTGTTCGTTTCATTTTTTCTGTGCCAACATCCAGTTGAAGGTGGTAATGGTAAGGGGAATGGCGACATTTACTCTCGTCGGATACAAGCACAATGATGCTGAGATATTTGTAGAACTCCGGACCGCAGGTGTCTGCGGTGGGAGCAACCGCGCTACTTTCCTTTCCGGGGAGTAACGCGTTCACCACCACACCATACAGGTCCTTCGTTTTGCCTGTCTCTCAACTAGTTCTTTTGATCATTTGCCATCAGCAATCACCCGTCAACGGGATTGACCTGGGTAGCCCAAATCGGCATTGAACCCAGCTAAGCTGAGGCGGTAGTCGAAATTACAGTGTCAACTTTTTGTTTATTTCCCATCACAATTTTCTTTGGTTGTATTTTTTATAATACCCTGCCGTAAAAATTGTAGCAGGCAGTAAATAAAAAGTTGATATTGTGATTTCGACTACAGCCTCAGCTTATGATGGCAAGTGTTCGTTAGAAGTAGCTGAGAGACAGGCGAAACGAAGGGCACGCATGGTGTGGTGGTGAACGCGTTAGCCTCCGGACAGGGTAATAGCGTGTTCGACGCCCACCGCCGGCACCTGCCGTCCGGAGTTTTCTAAATATGGGACACTGTTCTATCAAATATAGATGAATGAATGTAGACCAATTATAAGATTAGGAAAAAACTAAGAATTCGGCAAATTAATGATATTCTAATCACCAATTTTATCACAAATATGAACGATATTCGGCCCAGCTGTGCCGGCCAGCCGTTATATACGAAGTTTAGAAGATTTCTGAAACTTAGGAAAGAATGCAGGGCTGGTTGAGCCTCTTATACATATGGGGCCTAGAGGTTGGTGCAAAACTTGTCTGAGTAGATAAAAACACTGCACTGATAGATCCGTATTTCCTGCAAGTAATTGTGTAGGAAAAAATACGCATCGAATTACTTCTACGATGCCACGAAATAGAGTCGAATACGTAGAAGATCTCCTTCGTCGAGCTCAAGATTTGAGCTTACTACGGCTCCAGGCCGGCACCCGTTGCATCATTTTAGCTGGTATTCTCTTGGCTTGACATTTTCATTTGATAAACCTCTTCTTTGCTTCTTTCACATTTCGTTGTTTCCACCGAACGTTCACCAGGCGTGGATAACCTCACAGCATGAATAAAATGTATTATTTTCCCGGGTGGTGTAGTGGTGAAGTGCGCTGCTCCCCGGTAAGGACAACAGCGCGTGTTCGTTCTCCACTGCATACACCTGTGGTTCGGAGTTTTGCAAATATCTCAGCATTTCATACGAGTTATATTTCGCAACATAACCTGCCATTAAGAAGAAAAAGGCAGTAAATAAAAGAGTTAAGATTGTATTATTTTCTTTCAAATGGTGACTATCTGTCAGTTCATAATTCTTAACTTGTTCAACACCCGTCGTAAAAAATCGCCCTTTCAAAGTACAAAATGTCGCTTACACAAACCAATGGATACCGTAATCTGGAAATTATAGAACGTCCTCATTAAAGGCCACTGGTTGAGCACATTTAATTCCACCGAATGACTATCAATTCTTGATAATTAAGGGCACGAAGGAACTCCCCAACTAATTAAACACTAGATTAAATCGAAGGAAAATGCATGAGCACAGAATTTCCTTCCTAAAATATCATCGGGTTGATTAGTATGTAGAGTCAAGTGAGAACATTGGAAAAACTGTTAGAAAAAACATCAATAGAGGAAACACTTAAAGCATTTGTATTCTCAGTGCTGACGAGATGTAACCAGCATATTCAGGAGTTTATTGAAAATATTAAAATTTCGAGAATGGGATGTAGTGGATCGATTCAGTAGGTGGTGAAGTCTTGATTGATTCATAAAGACGATTTTGTTCCCAACATCTATTTTTGGCTGCAGCAGTGTAAAATCATATTTGAGGATGCTGGAGTTAACATCGATGAAACGGAAACCCTTTATTCTTCTTGAAAGCATTCTCTTCTTCCGAATTTTACCCACTCCGCTTAGCCGATCCCACCGCAAGTGTAAAATTGATAGATCGATTTTTCAGGTCGGTATTGTCGAGTGTCGAAATCTATGCGAACTTGTCGTGTCAAGAGACGGACAATGCCTACTCGATCCATATGTGAAATTACAGCTTCTTCCAGGTATCAGGAACTTTGCAACATTTTTAGCATAGTCAAAATGATGAACTCTTAATGGAACTCACTTCCATTTTAGTTTTAATGGTTCGTTAAAGTTCTCCACGTTCTTGAAAAACGTTCTTGAGTGACAGTTCTCATTTGCCATAAAAAAAATAACTAGTGTTAACAAACTACTTTGATCGATGTTTACCACTTTGTTCGCTTTTCGTGCTCCCCCAGCTTAAGGTCTTGTTGTCACACCTAGTATAATTGTATCTTACAGAACGCGAACATCGTGTCAAGACCCGCATTGTACGTTCGACGACCTCTCCAAAGTACGATGAGCAATTTACACTTTATGGTGTGACAAGCGAACAAATTGGCCTCAGCACATTACATTTTCAAGTAAGCCGCGAAATTTCATGGTCTGGGACTCACTATAGGACCACGTGTCATCATTTGACAAGAATTGCTTCCAGGTTGTTGCTTTCGATCGCTACAGTCGTGACACCGTCGTCGGTGAGTGTGTCTATAGACTGGCAGATGGCGAGTTGATGCATCATCAAGAAATGAGGCTAGTTTTATTCTCGCTACTGTCAAAATTCATCCAGTTGAAGTCATGGAATATAGCTACTGTACCTCCGTACAAATGCTTGCTACGAATCATTCTTCATTCAAAACATGAACTATAAACAGCGTCTACGGCTCGAAGGAGTCTAAACAGTCAATATTCAGAATAACAGTCAATTTGCGAAAATCAATGCTCATTGTATGTGTTGAGGCGCATTACCGACGTTTTCTAGCAATTCCTTTTCCTTTGCAAAGTTTCGCAGTATGTCTAGTGCAAAACAAAACGTCCATGTCAATACAGGACGACATAGGATTTTACAAGAAAATATCCACTATCAAAGGAACCGCAAAAAAATGACACGTAGTCGGTGGGAAGAAAAGATGCATGAAGGTGCAATAGAAAGGAAAACGAGAATTGTGGCAACTATTTCTCACAAACTACTCTCTAACCATTCGTGACGACATGACCTCTATAGGAGTCATTGATAATGGCACACACTAGCCGGTATGACCTCTGTAGAGGTCATTTTCTTTCTGAGCGTTTATTTTGGCGCGCAAGACTGTTTTCCTGCAATCGTTTCAATCAATTGGTATCTCATCCAATGCAGATATAAAATCTTAGCTCATCGATGAGAAGGTATCTTTTGAATAATTTTCCACTTAATTTATCATCTTGAGACAAGAGATTATTGCTGTTGAAGAGAGTGCGTGGCTTAAAGAGTTTGGCCAGTGAAGAAGCGTAAAAATCCTTTGCCTCGAAGAACTGGCAACGTTTGATGTGTGCAGTACCAGTTTTGAGAAACAATGCTTTTTTGCACTTTTCATTCGCTCTGATGAATTTTGGGTATTGTTTGGATTGACAGGAGATGCAAACTAAAAAGTAAACATCGAAATATTCCCTGCAGAACTTATGCAACTTCATTAAATGCTGAGAGGCAGTACTATTGCGTAGAGCACGAGAGTTTTTCTTCATACATAAGAATTTTATATGCACTAAAAACATGAGAGGGTAGAACATGGAGCACACATATGATAGGAGAATCGCAGATATTCTTTCATAACGCGGAGAAAAACATAATTATATGGAGGAAGCGGGACCGGCTTACAAATTGCTAGACACCGTGGCCGGGGTGACCTCTATAGAGGTGAAAGCGAGCCGGGCAAAACGTTGCGGAGGGTCCAGTGGGCACGCGACGAGATAAATAAGGCGTTGTCGTGAATGTAAAATTCAATATTATCTCTCTTGTTATGGAGTAAATCGTTATATCTTAGGTGTTCCACTCCTATATATACCTTTTCGTCTTGATTATTTGACAATAACAATGGAACAGTAAGATAAGTTTGGCAAATTCTTGTATGCTGTACGTCAAATTATGTGTTCCGTATTGCAGAGTGGAGTTAGCACTTCAACCACGTGCTTCGGATTGTGTTACATCTCGTGGAGAGCTACTTCTATCTCTTACCTATCAACCAGCATTTAACAATCTGACGGTAGTGGTGTTGAAAGCACGAGGTCTAAGCAGAAACGAAACCGGAACAGCAGGTGGGTTAACAAGTGGCAAGTGTGGTGAGCGCTATGTTTGAAGTACCGAAGGGAGCCTAGGATGTAGAGAACGTCCTAGACGTAGAAATTTTATATCGGTCAATACTGCATTTATGAACACATTGTACACTGAAGTTTTTTTCCCACTGTTGTCATCAGATATCTGACACTTTTTGTGCCTACCTACTTTACATGATGTATACTAAAAAAGCGTGTTAAGCACGCATAATTAGCTAACTAATTATATAGCAACTTACCTGATACTTAAACCGCCCGTTGTCACTAGTTGTGCGGGCCTCAGCATAGTCACCATTTTTCGGAGATTTGCTGGCTAAGCCATTGTGGTTCCCTGGAATCCCGAGGACAGCCTGGCCAAAGTCAGCCCCAGGTCGCCACCACGCAGGTAGTCGAAGCCCTTGTGGATCAGAGGGAGATTTGCCACAATTCGACTTTAATACCAGGACGGTGGTGAATCCTGTTATTGGTTTACTCTTAGCTAGTCTTCCTAATGGAAACGCCGGACTCCTTCTCAGCTTGAGGGAGGTCCCACTTCCATCTTGGCACTAGACTTGTACGACAGGGGCAAAAAAAATGCCGACTGGACATTATCCCCTTATTTGACTAGAGTAACAAAAAGTTCGCTTAAAAAGATTTTATTCTGCTAGCACCTCTACGTCTTCTCTGTCTTCGGAGCCGCGCTGATCCGAGTCGATGATCCACAGGCGGTTGTCGTCGCAACGTTGGTGATTGTTGACGATTCGAGTCGAATCGCTTGGAGTGGAACGCTGTCCAAATGAATTATCCTCTCTCGGCGGTGTCCTTTTATATAGGACAGATTTTCATCAACTGCCTCCATTCAAAATGATCTGCTTTTTTTGGTGGCAATCTATCCTGTAGCAGTGGTTGTCTCGCTAGAACATAGCGCAGCAATATGTTTCAGAAAATGAATGGCTGCAAAAAGTCAACATCCATCCTTTGTAAAAAAGACACCGACGAGTAAAGTTCCCATTTGAGCGGTGCTCAATCCACTGGATTTGACTCGATGCGACAACAAACACCCAAACTCCCAGTGACCATTCGTACTCTGAAGAAGATGAAGACGTTGGAATGTTTGCCGGACAAGCTTTTTTTTTATCAACCTCATGTTAATCATCCAAGAAAATATTCAATGTTTTTCATCAATAAGCAGACACGAGGTTGTTAATATAGAATTTATTAGAACACAATTGCTGACGTTTCGGCGGTTTCGCCTTCTTCAGAGCCGTTTATTTGTTGTAAGTATTTAAGTTAGTTGGTGGATAGCCGCCGCACAGAGTAATACA